AAAAACAACAACCAGCAAAACATGAAAGCTATGAAAACATAGCTGTTTATATTAAATGGTAAATGGACTAGTTCTTATATAGCGCTTTTCTACTCTTCTGAGCACTCAAAGCGCTTTACACAACTTGTGCATTCACCCATTCACACCCATTCGCACAAGCACAACTGACATTCACACACATTCATACTCCGATGAATGCATCGGAGAGCAATTTCGGGTTAGTATCTTGCCCAAGGATATTTGGCATGCAGACTAGGGGAAGCGAACCACCAACCTTCCGATCAGTAGATGACCTGCTCTACCACCTGAGCTACAGCCACCCATATTAGATGGGATATTGTAATTCAGACGCAGACATTCATGGCCAAAGCCTCACAGTATATAACAGCCAAGCTTACAGGTACACCTCATACAGAATAAAAACATTAAATCATAAAATGTAAGGGACAGAACCAGGTTTCTTGGTTTCTTAAAAAGTTGGCATGGGGGATGAAAGGATAACAAAAGATATTGTCTTTCTTACTGCTTATCAAATTGTTTACTGACAGTCAGGACAAAAGGACATGCCAAATTTTCCTCACATCTAACTTCCTTCAAAGTATCTTAGCTTTCACAGCATTGTTTTATGTCTTCCATGTGGTGATTTTCTTTATCGTTCTTTTTCTTTTAAAATTAAAGGGAAACTCTACTGCTCCGTGGGGAGCTTGGTTTCGGCTCTCCGAGCAAGCTTTGTATGAGAGTGTGTGTGCTTGTGTGGTCAGCCTGAGTTGATGTGCTTCATTGCAGTGTGAAATTGGGCTTCTGGGCCACTCTCTGACCGCTGAGCTGATCTGCTTCCTCAATCTCAAGCTCGCTCTCTCCCACTCGCTCTTTCTTATGTCCTCCTCATCCTCATCCTCATCATTGTTTTGTTTTTCATTCAGCCATCCATCAGTCTGCATATGGAAATGAACATGCATGCAGCAAGTGCATGACTTTTGAGATCACTCTTTTCGCTAGACACCCAAAAACACATTGCCCTTGACTTAAACGACTTGCATGTTGACACCTATATTACATAAACACATGCATTTCTTTATCTTTCCTCTATGAATGTCTACAAGCAGCTAGTAGGCAAAAGTCTAGAAACAAACTCTTCCAGATATCCAAATGTTTCAATGTGATTCTAACATTCATCAAACATGTTCCTCCAGGGTCTTGCGCTTCTACATAAATCAACAGCATATTAATTTAATTTGATATTTTTGTCTTGACACATAAATGAGACTGTGCTCCCTTTTCTCTGTTCATTTGATGGCAGCTTGATGAGTCACATAAAAATAAAAAAAATACATATATTGCGTATGTATTGCCACCCCAGGGGCCATTTACAAAAATAGTAAACAAAATGTGAAGATGGAAAAATAAACTGTCACTCTGTGTTTTCCATTGCCGTACTGTAAATGAAATGTGAGGTCTTACATAAAACTGCATAAGGATGTGGTCAAAAATTATTAATTTTACAGGTTAAAAAAAGCCTCAGTAACAATGGATGGATGACTGGACAACATCGAACCAGGAGGCCTGCTGTAATTCAAAGCATTAGGATCAAGTGACATGTTTAAATGTCATACTGAAACACCTGTTGCATGTTTAAAAGATGCAAAAACAGAGCAAGGCAGAGGAACATTTGCCCATAGTAGTTTCTGTCTCTGTTTAAATAAACCCACATTATTCAGACATAGTGTGAACCAGTATATGTAATGATACTGGAATCTACTGCATGGGTCAAAATTAAATACAGCCATCCCACATATAATTACATGCCCTCCCCCTTGTGTTTGCATCCACTTTCCTTCGTTCCTATCTGCTCCCATCTCTCTACTCCCATACCTATCTCTTCATTCTTTTCTTGGTGTGACCGGGCGAAGTAAATGATAATTGCCTTGCCCCAATTTAAAGGAGGCTAAGAAAGGATTTTTCTGTCACCCAGACCAAGGAGCTGTCTAGCATCTCCAGACCCCTTCTTCTCTTTGGGAATTTATTTTTTTCTTTTTGGGATGAAGGTCCTGGTACTCTGTTTTTCCAAGGCTTTATTTATTTAGCTTTCCTGCCTCATTAGTTTGGGAAGGGAAGTTTTGGGTCATAAGGCTCATTTCATGGATGGCCAGTCTTTTTGTCTTTTTTGCTGCTAAACACAAATTGGGGTGTGGCATCATCTTCATTGAGAGTCACAGAAAAAAAAAAATAGCAAGTGCACTTTAATACATTTAAGTGTGGTCCCTTAAGTTTCAAAAACTTGTTTCTGGTGACATTGTTATGATTATTAAAATTAAGATTTTTCTCATTAGAAATGAAAGTTAATTAAAGTTGTCATTGTACTAGATTAAAGATCCTTTTACTTTTTGTACACTTTGTTCTGTTCTAGAGAGAAATTAAAGTGGAAATGAAAAAGTGACAATTTCTGAAATTTTCTGGAAACCTATTGGAAGTTCAAAATGTGAAATTTCCCTTTTATAAACATATCCGGTCTTTAAGTGATGACATGATGAATCCTGCTTCCGGGCCCAAACTACCCTGTGTTTAATAAGGCTGTTGTGTTTTTAACATGTTTTAAAGCTTTTTATCTTGTTCTATTTAATCTCAACAAGCACCTAAAAACAGTCAGTGATCACTGTCGGCCTCTCTCGGTTTTTATTCTCAATCATCCAGGAAAGTAAATCTCCAAAAGTTGATTCTGTTCATCTGGATGTAGCGTTCAGTGGAAGAAACGTTACATTATAAACAGTACATTATGCAAATGTACTGTTCATAAGATTGGGGAAACCTGCAGTCAACTGAGACTGAAGAAGTCACTTGGATGAGTGACGATACGTTTCTTCCACTGAAAACGCTACGTCCAGATGAACAGAATCAACTTTTGGATATTCAGTTTAAAGCTTAGTTTTAAAAAACCTTAGGATGTAACTACAGCCCAGCCCATGCAGCAGTATATGAATGACTAACCTCGTATTGTTGATGGATTATCGCAGTTGTTCTCCTGGCTGAAGTTTGGTCCGTTTACAGCATCCTGATTGACTGCATTTCTCCCTGACCATTGAGAATCCTCACGTTAACTTTTATCAAGTGGAAAAAAGTTAGCGTTCATCCTCCAGCTTCACTTTTTATATTATGCTAACATAGCTGTGTCGCTAGCAATCACGTAGCACATTGTTATATACTAGCCAAACTTCATTAACCCTACAAATGCCACTGCTGTTTACTTTCCTGTCTTCATTTATGTTGGAAGTGGTAGCAGAGCTGTACGTTTTAATTTGTTTCAGAAATCCCTCAGTCAGAAGATGGTATATTTATATTTAGATTGAAACTAGCGAGCTAACTCCCTGCTAACTTCTAATTTTCATAAATTTCATGAATTCTGTTTTGATGGATGTCTGGATGCTAAACTTAATTGTTATACCTGGTAGAGCAGCCACACTGATCATTTTATTACAGATGAAAGAATTTAGTCAGTGATGCTGCAGTGACTGTTTGACTTAGGGACCTGCAGCGGAGTTTGGGCCTAGACACAGCTAATTACGTCCGACTTAAAGACCGGATTCTCAGTTCATTCTTTTGTCAGATATAACTTTTAGGTTTAAGTGTAGGGTAAGTCTCTGTCAGCTTTCCATACAAGGAACTGTACAGTTTCTCCAATTCTTTATGAAAGAGCCTGTCAAGCTGCATCGATTTGAAAAGAAAGGCTGTTCAGGCATCTCCACAGATGTTAAATGGGCTTGTAGTCTGCTAAACCATGTCTTACTAATGTATGTTTGGCTTCGTTCATCTTTTCTTCTTTTCATACAAGTTTCAGTTCCCATAGCTAATACAAATGTCCATAGCTTTTCTTTCGTCAGACCAGAGAATGTTCTTTCTCGTGCTTCCTTTAAATTATGTTTGTCAAACTCTCATCAAGCAGTCACATGCATTGTAATCAAAAGCTATTGAGTTTTACAATTCTTCTCTTTTACCATTGTGATTTTTAATCAAAATATAGAAGTATCTTTTGTTTGCCACTGAGCCATGCTTTTTTGTCTATAGAGAGTGGACATCATGGCTTGGTTTTTGTGGTCACATGTGGAAAAAAAAACAATATATGCACAGCTACTTGGTGGACTGGAGCAGGTGGATTTCTGTATACACATCAAAGGTAAAGCGATGCAAACAGGATGCAACTCAGCACAATAAGTTGGCAAGTAAAACTTCACCATGACAACGATCTGCCTTGACAGTGTCAAAACAAAAGGAAACAAAAAAAATTACATCATTAAAAGCAGAATGTGTTAGAGGTTTGCATTTAATGATACACTAGAGCTACACCAAGTGTATTTAAAGTCACTTATTCTCATTCACAATGTCATCAATGACTGGGGGCAAAGATTTCCATCGACTCGACTGTATTCCCACTGAACATCCATCTTTTCTTACCCGATTTAATTAAACTGGAAGGGGACAACTTGTCAAAGACTAAGCCACAAGCCACTCATCTCAACTCCCTACAATAGCTTGATTTTTGTTGACAGTTTTTGTGAGCAACTTTTCTGCTTGCTGTGAGTGTACATCAGCCAATAACCGTTTCTGCACAATTTTTCAGCTAAAAATTAAAAACAAATTATTAGAATACACATATTTTTCAGTGAGTCATCTGTTACGTTATAATCAATCCTCTGTTGATTTCTTTCTGTAACATTAGGCAAGCCTACTTCTCAAATCAATCACTCTTTTCACAACTCCTTAATGGGTGTAATAACTGTTCTGAGTAATGAACCCCTGTTGATTTTGAAGTTATTTATTTCATAGCTTGAAATATAAAAGACATGTATGAAAAAAAACAAAAACAAATGCAAGTCATGCCACATATTTGAGTATTACTTAAAAAATTCACAAATAACAGAAAAGTGTTCTTGGCAGTGAGCAACAGAATTTGGACAATTAAGCTAGTATTCAACATAATACTGAAAATCAATAACTTGCCAACTCACCTCTAGCTGCTGAGCCTTTGGGTTTTTAAGGTCACAGAGGGAAGTGTTAATTCTATGGTTGTGTTTGACACAGCGCTGGGTTGTGTTCTGGGGCATTGGGAACATCTGGCGCACCAACGTCAGCCGACCGATAGACTTCATGACTAACTCCTGCAAGTCATAGTCCGAGATCTCCTGAAAAAGGGTAGAATAGAGGAATAGGTATAGGAGAGGAAAGAAGGGATGAAGTAAATGTAGGTATGAAATTAACAACTTCATTATGCAGACATAAAGCCAGCATGAACAAAATACAAAAGAACTGTAACTGCGCACACAAAATAAAAGCAAAAATAGAAAAACATGGTTGAATATTACACCTCAAAAGCCTCAGATCTAATTCCTAAACAAGTAAAAGTTAGGCTTTGTTTTAGATACCCTATGTTTCTCATTATCGCCACACCGAGCGATGAAAAGCTGTCTACATCATATGCAAAAATAGTTATTAGATATGAAAGGTACAAGTCAGCCTATGGAAGGAGGAAGAGAGAAGGGTAAAAAATATCTGCGTGTTGGCCTGACTGTGCGCATATGTTTGTTATGTGCACACATGTGCGTTTGCACGTACTCTGTATGTCCTTGCAAAACCTTGGGGGAGGAATCACTGCTAATTTTAGCCCTAGGACACACACTCTCCTTCCCCGCTCTCCATCCATGGATCTCCATCCATCCTCCATGCAGAGGGTCATGTGGTGATGAGATGAGAACTGACGTTTATCGTCCCTGGTGGAGGTAATGCTGCCATCAACTGAAACAGCTTTTACTTCCTTTGTATGTGTATGCAGTGATTGTGTTTGTGTGTGATTTCATGTGTCTTTTGTGCCCATGCCAGTCTGTGCATAAATCAGTCAGGTTTTTTTTTTTTATGAGACTGTTTTTAAGCCGTACAATCATGAAAAACCCTTATGATTCCCTTGTGTATGCACCTGAGTCCGCTTGATAGGATTGAAAGGACTCAGATTATGCACATGCACAAACAATCCATCACACACACACTTTGTATTAGTGAAGGGTAATATTATAGATAACACACCTCATTGACTAATAGGAATGGATTTTAATTGAGTGTAATTAACGTCCATTAAGACCCGTGAGTCCTCATGGGATATGATCAATGGTGATTAGAGGTTGTTTTATATGGACTTTATTGGTATACCCAGTGTCATCTGCACTAATAAGGATGATGTATTGCCTTTGCAATGGCCCCTAGATCTCCACACCACCAGACACAAAAATATTCATTTGCTTCTGCTTAGAAGTTGATTTTCAAGTTTCTGCTTTTTATACTTTTACCTCTGTGGTCATATTTTACTGGAACCAGATGTAGTTCTACAGTGGATTTCAATTATTTATAAAAGTTAACAACAAAAGAATGGAATTTATACCTTGACAAATTACTCAAACAACTTAACATGTTTAACCTTGCATTAACACTCTGCGCTCTGAAGTATATACTTTCTAAACAGTCCAAATAAGGAATCCGTTTGCTGGCTTAGGGGTGAAAACGTGGCAAAAATCCCAAACAGCTGAAGACATAAAACCCTGAAGGGGACTGAATTACAAAGCCAACAAAAAAAAGAAGATCCAGAGCAGAGAGAAAATGCTGAAAATTGCTAAAAAGGCAGATTTGTGGGCCAAAAGAGAATTAAGATGCACAGCAGGCCGTCAAGGGCATGCAAAGAAAGATCGGTAGACAAAAATTATCCAGAGTGCACCACTCAAAGGATCAAATGCAAACAAATATAGATGAACCAACACACAGCAAAAACAGAGACAAAGACACACTTAATTGGGAGGTTTGAGGTTTGCCCTCTAAACAGGGATTTGTCCCTCTTCCTTTGTCATGTTCTGTTTGGCTCTTTGTCTGGATCTCCCTGGGGATAAACTAAAGTGACATCACCCAGTGTGACTTTCAGTGCTCTGAAAGTTGTTAGCCTTTTAACAGCTAAGACAAAATGAATATGACACATGGATGCACATACAGTAGACCGGCGTGAAGAAACACACATGCTCTCATCTACAACCCTAGAGTCTCGGGAAGGAGAGGGTACTGCTACACAGTTGATATTAACCTCATATAATCACTTCGCTCTTTTTCACGAGTTTCACTTTACCCCAACCTTCCCTCAGGCCACTAACCATTAACCTTTCATGGACTTCTTCAATCAAAACATTATAAGACCAACGCTAAATGCCTCTGCAACACTGAGTTAAAATAGGGGTGAGGTTCGAGTTGGATTTACAACAATGACCCTGAAACATCCATGAAATAATTACTGCTCATTATCTAATTACCAGCTCAAAATTTTAATTCTTTAATTCCCTCTTTCATGCCCATCGTCATTTTTGTCTAGTTTCAAATTACTTACTCAGTCTTTTAGTCCTAACCAACAACTGAACAAAGGTGAGATTGTTTTATCACTCATTCCTTTTAATCCTCTTAAAGATTAGCATTTAATTACAATATCATTTGGTCCTTATGTCGGTGTTGTGGGCTTAAATTCTACACACCAAGGCCAGCTACCTCAAACTAAACACACTAGGTCAGTCATGACAGCCAGAATGCCCTAAACCTAATTTCTGGAGTTCATCATGAGCTGTTTACTCTGTAAATCAAATCCGTTCAATTTATCCCCATTCTTGTCGACCATTTTACCCTTATCCAGATACTTCTTTCCCCATGGTATTTCTCCCCTTCCCTTTCATTTCTCTTGGATGACAGGAGAAAGCTACTTTTATTTATTTTTGGGGGGGTTTTCTGTTTATCCTCCGCTACTCAACTGCTGAGCCCATCAGTGCCCATAATAATCTCCTCTGGCTTTAAGTCTTCTCACATGTTCACTTCAGGAAAGAATAAAAAAAAAAAAAGAGCATGAAGAAGAGAGAGACTAGGATGAATGAAGCTGTTCAAAGCAATACTCAGAAGAAAGTATAACCCAAAATTCACTACAGTCTGCTGTATTACACCAGCCTACCTGCTGGTGATAGGAGATCAGTAAGCACAGTGTATTACAATGTGAATGTTAGACATGATGGAAGTGATAAGACTAACATCCCATATCTGATAATGTCTAGATAAATATTAAATCTTTAAGAAATGCATTACATCCATAAAGGCTTCAAAAAGCAAAGAAGGGTAAAAGAAAGTAAAATGGGATTTAACTAATAATCATATTATTTAAACTATTGCCGTTAGTGTTAAGAAAGGGAGGGTTGTAGCACACGGCCACAGAAGAAATGTACTTTAAGTCTTTAAATCCTTAAATTCTATTAGATTTAGAAGGTTGATAGAAAGAACGCATCAAGATGATGGAGAAAATCTGCGGCAAAGTGAAATACCATGCAAACACACAACACACCAACACTATGCAGACAAGTTATGAGGCAGGAGCAAGGACAGAATTATGATCAAATGTGTTCTAATTCAGATTTCCAAGCCATGCAGGGAAAGGTGGATGAGAGAGGTGCCACGTTTTCCTTCAACAAGGCAAAAAAAAAAAGATCCGACAGTTTCGGCGTAACCACTTATTAACAACAAGGGTATGAGATAGCTGAAGTCATAGCGAGCAATTTCAAGCTGTGGACACAGTATGCACAAATGTAGACTCATTCTCTCCCAGCAAGTCCTTCTGGAGCAGCAAATAAAATTGTTCTTTAACTTAGCTGAGATTGCAGCCTTAAGTTAGAGTCACTTTGTATCCTTATTCTGTTTCCAAGAACAATAAATGAAACTAACCACCACACAGTAGGCTTTAATAGAGTTCAATTATGCGAAAGTCTGTAGAATGTTCTTAAATTGGACAAGACCTCATAATCCAGCAATTATATTTAAAAAAAAAAAAAGAAAATCCGAATAGTTCCAGTTACATGGCTTTCATAGTGACGTGTTAAGCTCCAAATTGACAGAAAATGCTAATCTCAAAGCATCTTATTACTATGCATTTTTCCTCTGAGAGGCAGAAGAGACAGACGAATGGAGCGAAAGAAGAACAAAAAGGAAACGGGTGTGAACGACCACAGAAAAGATCAAGAATAACGAATAATGGGGAAATTGTGAATGAGCGGGGTCAATAGTGGAGTTATCCTCCAAAATGTAAGGGGCAAACAGAGAGAAAGAGAAGTCATGAACATCTCTTATCACTTCTTCTCCCCACACCCCTCATCCTCTTCTCCTGAGAAGAGCAAAGGAGATGGGTAAAGGAAGGATGATCAATTATGAACTGTGAACTCCCCCTCAGTGGGGCTGTCTGACTGTTGGCTGTAGATAAAGCACAGTTATGACAACCATACAGTACCCTCTCATCCATAATAATCTACAGGGATGGAGAGGACTTTCACACATAGGAATATTCATTCTCCACAGAAGAAGTACAAGAGGACATTCTATATGACAAAATATTTTAACCGCTCATCTATTTTAAACACCCTCTGAACCATTTCATGTGGCCAATGGAATATAGTGTGCGCATCACAGAAATCTATGACTATATTTTTGTCTTGATTTTTACATTTTATGCAGGGAGACTTGGTAAGCATTGATTTTTAGCATAAAAAAAACTGTGTGTGTGTGAGAGAGAAAGAGATATAGGAAACAAAGAAGTTCTGTCATTCACAAAAGTCTGAAATTGCTTAGAAATGAGCTTTTTTTAAAGTCATAGGTGCCTGACCACTGTTTTTTGCTACCCTCAAAGTAAAGGTTTATCTTCTTTTTTTTAAATAACTAACAAGCAGCTACTTGAGTTTTGCTTATGAATTTATAATTAGTAACAAACCACAGGCAGTACAAAAAGAATAGCTAATGATTACGCAATTTATTTATTTTTTTTCTAAATGACATCAGAAACAGCAGTATGCGACATTACGTGATGGCAGAGCTTCAGTTCATCCTTTGTCTTTTTTTTTTTTTTTTTTTTTTTTAATAAATAGGACAGGGGGAATGAATGAGAGAAAGAGGGGGAGAGAAAGAAAGAAAACCAAAGGGGAGAAGAGACGGTGAGAAGGGGGGGGAAGAGAGAGAAAAAAAAAAGAACTCCTGGGTCACCTGTATGGAGGAAAAAAAAAAACAAACAACAAAAAAAACAAACAGAGGAGACAGCAAACAAATTACGCAATTTGTAGAGAATGAATCTATATTAGCTGCGGTGCTTCAAACGTATTCATGATCTTATCATCACCTAATGATTCATTCATTCATTCCAATCTGTTCCAATCTGTTCTTTGGAAACGCGGTTTTATCTACTACACACACTGGTGTGAAAAGTGTTGGCCCCTTCCTGATTTCCTGTTTTTTTTTGTATGTTTGTCACTTAAATATTTCAGATAATCAAAGAAATGTAAATATTTGACAAAGATAACAAAAACATTCGAAATGAAGGTCTTTATTATTTACTGGGGAAAAAAATCCAAACCTCCATGGCTTGTATGAAAAAGTGATTGCACTCCCCTCTGGTGTGACATCATTGGAAAGCTAAGTTCAATTTCTTTAGTCATATATGACTAAAGTGGCAGTAGCCAGGCCTGATTACTGCCACTGTTCTCAATCAAGAAATCACTAAAATAGGATCTGCTTTACAAAGTGGAGTAGACCAAAAGTTTCTTAAAAGCCAGACATCATGCTGCGATCCCACGAAATTCAGGAACAAATGAAAAACAAAGCCTTTTCCACATCTATCAATGTGGAAAAGGTTATAAGCCATTTCTAAAGCTGTACGAAGAGTAAGGAGATGGGTACGGGGTTTGTTGTGAGGCCACATAAACAACCCAAAACATCCCTCCTCCATCACTGTGCTTGACAGTTGTTATGAGGTATTTGTGGTGTGGTTTTGTTGTGTTTCGCTAAACGTGGCACTGAGCATTATGTCCAAACATTTCCACTTTGGTTTTAGATGTAAAACATGCAGCCATGCTCTTATATAGACCTATTCTGTTCCTGCTGTAGGCAGGAAAACAGAACAGCTGTGCCGTGGACCGGTCTTTGTTTAGAATTTTTAAGCAGTTAATAAAAGGCTAGAATGTTGCCAGATGACAGCTTACAGTTTCAGGACTTCACCAGTGTTCCCTCCTTTGCTTTTTTTGTAACAGAAGCCTACATTTATGTGACTGGTCCAAGAACTCAGACTGAAAGCAAAGTATAGTTTATTAGGCCGCTGAATCCGTATTTAGCCAAACAGGCATCTAAATAATGATAGTCTTCTTCACAGGCTGCTTGTTATTGCCATCAGAAAAACAAAATATACTAAGACATCTTGTAAAAGCAAGCTTTTGTCAAAATCCCTAATGGTACATGGGAAATGGACATTATGATATGCATTCTATTTTATCTAGCAGATAAGTGACATAAAAAGCCCTGTCTGAAGTAATTAAGTAAAACAGAGTCATTGTTTTGGTCTGATTTATTCACATTTTACATCTGAACAATCATGTTGAATAAAAACCAGGGCTCCCTTGGTTTCCTCCACTCTGTTGAAGTGAGAAAATACAATAAATAAATAAAAAAAAGTTGAGGGGTTATCTAAGGTACTGGGGGAGATTGTAAGTGTTACTGGAGCCTCAAAGTCTCAAAATCTCCACTAAACATCAAAGAGAAGAAGATTGGCTGTCCTGCAGAACTAATGGATGTCATGCATTCCAATGCATGAAGAGAAACACTCTCTTTGCATAACCGAGCAAATAATAGGACTAGCAGCAGTTAGCAGCAGTGTTATGCTACAGTTAGAGGCTTGAAAATGGAAGAGAGAGAAAAAGAGAGAAACTACAGTACACTCAAGCATCTAGATATATTTTCTTGTTGCGTGTACGCTGCTTTTTGCTCTTCTCCGATGTATCTGCTTGTGTATATGGTTGTGTGTTTGTTAGTGTGTGGCAGAATGGGCTCCCTGTTGTGCCCTGCAAGTTCATTGTAATGCCCGAGGCTGCCAAGACACACTGCATTAGCTTGTAGTGCACATACACCCCCTAACATGCACACACACACACAAAAAATGTAGCTAATTCTGCTGTTTTTCTAAAAGGCATTTCTCGCGAAGCAAGATCAAAGATCGGCTCCTATTCAAAATTAATGGGAAATTACAGCCAGCATTAAAGTTTCATTATGTTTCGCTTATGACCAGCGCTCACTCTGATCAGCGATCATGAACACGGATGAGAGAAATACACAGGGTGATAACTGTACACTCTGAGGAACAGGAAATTGACTTTGTGAACTGTTTGGTCTTGTCTACAACTGTTAATCCAAAAAAGCATTGAACTAGAACTGATTGTGAACTTTTAAAGGTCATCCACCGATGGCATGTGTGTTTTTGTAAAAACTGATGTGAAACAAAAAGAGCCAAGTTTTCTCTCAAATATCCAAAAGATAGGAGTCAAAAAAGGGTTTTTGGATATACAGCCAGAAGTATTCACAGAATAAATAAAAGAACAAGGTCAACACAAAGCATACAAAGTACATGATACACTGTCATGGCACTTACCTCGTTAATCAGGATCCAGTGACAATCGAAGGCCACCAGGTTTGTCTCCACCACCTACGAAAACACAAGACACAACATTTTCTTTTTAAATTGCGCTTAATCTCTGTGACCAACAAAGGCAACAGTGGTCAGGCTTTTTATGATTTACAGTAAAATAAATTATTACAGACTTTCATATAAAGGCTACTGTCATTGTGAATCACGACTTCTAAAGTGTGAATATGATGGTAAACAATTTAGTGGAAAGCTGCAACGGTGAAGCGTGAAGGTGTGAAGCTCGACACAGAATTTCTATCAAAGGTGCTCAAGGTATCAGTCAAAAATCTTTTCAAACACATGCAAATGTAGTCATGCTTGCCTGACCCAAATACAGCCTTCAACATCAAGTATTTTATCACTTTACACAATTTAGGCAAACTTCTGAGGGGATTTCATTTGCTTTTCCTCCTGCAGTGATCTCTGTGTGTGCGAATAACACAAGACAAAATCAGGGGCAAACAAAAAATGCCTCAGAATTGTGTGTTTTTCAGCCTAGAGAAAAACAAAACAGTGCAACTTAAATATTTATATGTGTCTATCTAACCAGCAGCTACACAAATGTTAAACGCTGCAGTGAGGACACATTGGAAAAGGGCTGTCTACCGCAGAGAACAGAGAGAGAACAGTACTATAGTCAAGGCTAAACCTTTGGAACTTCAGACATACCTGCAGTATATTTGCACATATCGTACATTTCTATTAAAAGGCTAATCTGCTCTGCTATATACGTATAGCAGTAACAGTTCTTTGTGTGTGTGTGTGTGCGTGTGTGTGCACGTGTGTGTTATTCGTCTGTGATCACTTTTAACAATGACATATGATATGAGGACATCAATGACATAATAAGTAGATATTTTTGTTTGTGTGTGTGTGAGTGTGTGTTTGAATAAAACAACAGACTTCTTCTCATTAGTATTTGGAGTATTTGGTATTGATCTATTGAACCTAATCTAATTAGCTTTGTCTTTAACACAGTAATCTAGTTCATTACTTTTACCAAAGTCAGTAATCACATTACACTTACTAGCAATTAGTTCAGTTGTGGTAGATAAATGCTCGAGGTTTGCATCAGTGGCAGAAAAAAACAAAACACCCAAAAAAAAAGACAATTATGTGATGGGAAAAGGAAGAAACTGGTAACGGGAACAGTAAAGGGTCTGCACTTATTAGCATTTATATATTATGCATACTATATTTATATCCCATTTAACCTTTGCTAGGATCCACAAAGAGCTTTGTTATGTGTTTCTCATTTAGCCATTCACACACTGGCAAAGGGCTGGAGCTGGCGAGGTGTTTACCTGCTTTCAGGAGCAACATGGGGTTTAGTATCTTTCCCAGGGACTCTTTGGCACATGAAGGCGATCAGCCCTCCAACCCCATGACTACTGGACAGCCTGCTCTAAAACCTGAGTCATGGCCAACCCCATGCATCTTAAGCAATGTCATGGTGAACTGCAAAATTAAACATTTACTGAACAGACTGAACAGAGATCAGAGGGTTGAGTATTCTTACCTTGCTTTTGACTTTCTTCTGTCAAAAACACTCACCTTTGTTTTTTACCTCTTTTGTCTCTCATTTTCATCCTCCCAGAACCACCCTCTAATTTTTGTTCTCTTATCGTTGCTCTCCCCTCACCTCTCATCCCATCATCGGGCTTTAATTACTCACTTCTCACTCTGTGACTGCTCCTACTCCTTTTCTTCGCTCGCTCTCAGCCCTTCTCCCTTCAATCCCAGAGTAAAAATAGAGTGCCACTCATATTATCATTAGCTATAATTGTCTAGGTGACTATAGAACATCACGCCATAAAACACTTTTTAAACAAAAGGCAACAGCTGGAGAGGGTGGCGGTGTGTGGCTAATAATGGTTTAATCTCCCACCGAATCGCCATAAAACTTATAACACAGAAGGCTGCTGTAAAACACTCGACAGAAAACATAGTTTCGACATAGACAAGGTGTAAGGCGGAGTGACTGAGCTGTAAGACACAATATTTTTCTTAATTTTAGTTTTTTCTGTCAGAACCTCTGTTCCCCTCTACTTTCACTTATCCCCTCCATGTACGGGATCTGAAATGTAAGTAATGTGGTTTTTGTCGTTTTGTCCTGTCACAATGTTTCTGTTTATCTCCACTGAAAAATTGAATGAGTGGGCAGCGATAAAGGCAAAAAGGAGAGGGGAGAAAGACAACACAGGTTTCTCAAACTCAACTTTTCTGGTCAGCTCTCTTTCTGGCTTAATGTCCTTTTTTGCAGTCCTCTCTCTTGGTATTAATTATGAGTATTTGTGTGGGATTGCTTGCAATATTTCCGCTTTTTAAATATGAAAAACTTTAATCTGATATTTTATTCAAGATCATGGGAAAGTGAATGTGCTTGGACTGCAACATTGCTAAGCCAGATAGTACGTGGGTAGTAGACCATAAACAAAGTTTTTACAGCAGAATATTACTTTGTAATGAGCTGATAAATGATCTTCACCTGTCAGCGGTTTCAGTGTTGTGGTTGTCTGGTGTCGCTGCTTGTACGCAACTACTGCTGGTTCTGTAGTAAGTGCTTCCACTTTTCCCATTATGACCTCCCTCTAGCATCCGTATGGACAGATGTTTTAAGCTAATTAGTGAAATGGAAGATTCATAGAAATAGACATGACTCCTCAGGGGTTGGAATTGTTCAATACACTCTCTCAGACAAACACACACACACATATTCACACTCATACACACACAAGAACCAAACACCCACAGCTACAACAATTACTGCTGCTAAGTCCCGAGGCTGGTTTGTCTGTGTGCTTGCCCTTGTGTATTTGTCCAGATGTACACACACTTACAAAACATTACAGCCTTCGTGCCACCAATGGAGGAAGGTGGGGGGGGGGTGGGGGGGGGGTCACCTGGGCATCATTCCTTTAGTGATAGCAAAGAAATCCTTGTGACCTCTCGGCCCACCTTCACAAAAGCTTCAATTCGCCACAGTTCTTCTTCTCTGAAGTCAGAAGATCGCACTAAAACCAGCTCCGTGGTCTGAGACAAATCCAATCACCTAGTGTCAATATAAGTAAGCCTTTTCTCAAAGTCTGAAAGCACACACAGAGAACTAAGACTGATCTGTAACATCATGCTACAGCGCACACCAGTCTTGTACGTGTTTATCAAGCGGCCGTGGGACCACCAAACACTGTTTTGATCCTGCAAATGACCTCTGCTCACCTGTCACTCCCGAAGGAGTACAACAAAGAGAAATTGTTGATTTTGGCAAATGGTTTAGCTTGACACACAAGTGTCAGGGATTGCCGCTCACACTGAGGTCTGACTTGACAAAAGAGGGCGTATTGCTAATATTTTACTCACACACGTTATGCTAATGCACACGCATAATAAATATGAGCCTATACAGCACATTTTAGACAACTGTTCAAACAAACAAGGATATACGACTTCTTTTACAGACTGCTGTATATTCCCTGTATAGTGGGGCACTCTGTGTGAGAGGTTAAGAATGTAAAAGCAGTGGTATGATGCCTGAAGTGAGAGAGTGGGTGTTGTTATTGAATAAAGTGCTCTAAATTAAAAATTAGTAGTGTCATTTAATTTCATGCACTATTTGTGATCAAATCAAGCAAACAGCCTACAGCCAACCCTCCAAACTAGGCATATCCAGCTTCACATTTGAACATGCAAGCACAAGCTGTGAATTTATAAACACACAAAGAAAAAAATCTATAAACACAAGCACAGTGATCCATTTCTACTTCTTCTTCTTTCACAGTCCAGCCCCTGTTGCATTTCTTGTCTGGAAAGCAAGATGTGCTATATGATTATGCGCCTACTGACACACACACACACACACACACACACACACACACACACACACACACACACACACACACATGAACACTGTGGTTCATCCAAGTGTGGTTTTTGAACACTGTAATTAATTTGTGTTCCTGTGCGTGCACAAGTGTGTGCCGGTCTGCGCTTGAGTGTGGACATAGGGGTCTGTGATTACTATTGTCATCTACAACCCTTCATTCCACCTGGAATCATAATATGAAAGACACTTGGACTAGAACAGAAGAGAAACTTTAGGAAAGCAGGAACAGATGAAAGCGAAACAAAGAGACAGATAAAGAAGTTTACAAACTGATGGAGTGACACAATGCATTATAACCAGTGTTTTACTTCATCTTTTTTATTTTCCATATTTTGTATCAATGATATTTCCAGCTTTTTTTTTATCATCTACTTATCTGCTCAGCCACTGTGCTGCTGGAAAATTAAGCTACCCAGTGATTTGAGAATGCTTAGTTAACCAAATAAAGTTATATTTGTGGCAGGGTTTATTTTCTTACTTAAAATAATATGATGGAAATCAGAGTCAGGACTCAAAAAGCAGAATCAGAATTAAAATCTGTTAAATCTAAATTATACACAATAAAACAATCTTGCTGTGTTGCATTCATATGAATGGTTTCCAATTTGTTTATTACCAGAGATGGGAGTCTCTCTAGTTCCCACTTTTGGTTTTGATTAGCATGGTTGTCCCACTGTCAGATCAAGCTAGGGATACTTTCTACATAGTCATCTACCATTAACTTGCTCCTTCTTCAGCGACTCTTCCTTCTTTCAAATCTAAGTTACAAAACATATGAAAACTGCAGCTATACAAAACACAAAGCGGGCTTTTACTAACCCATTACCCCCATTTATTCAGCCCGCTACTCAGCCTCCCTGTGCATGAAATAAGCATTTAGCACTCACCAACTGAAGCACTTTTCCCCGAAACATACAGTAACTGCTGTATGTCAGCACCTCACCCACATTGCTCCCACAGTGTGCTTTATGCATGATGCATGGTTGAGATTGTGTGTCTTGATGTCAAGCACGTCTGTTCGTACTGTGCTAAAAGACAAGATGGCAAGCAAAGGGTGGTGCATTATGACTGTGCTCAGCCTGAGCGCTGCCAAAAATGTAATCCACAGAGCAAAGCAAACAGACTTCAGCAATTA